TGGAAAGACTCTGTCTGCAAGGACCTGGAGTCTCTTCAGCACAACACGGGCAAGCAACACTGAGAAGAGAGATGCCAGGGTAGTTATTGCAGTCGCTCCTGTCTCCTTTGTTCTTATACAGTGTGACAATGTTTGCTTCGCTTTTGAATTCTTGTTGTGCTCTGTAAAACATTTTGTGTTTCTCTGTATTGTACTGTACTTTTTAACATGCACTCCAGTTCAATATTATATTTTGATTTCTCAGTTTTATGATTTCAATTTTTTGTGCTCTTCGTGTAAACTTTTTGTGTAGAGATATATATACAGTGGTGCCTCGCTTGACGACCATAATCCGTTCCAGCAAAATCGCTGTACAGCGAAATCATCATCAAGCGAAAGTAAAAAACCCATTAGAATGTATTAAAAACTGGTTAATGCGTTCTAATGGGGAAAATACCTCATCGTCCAACGAAGATCCTCCATAGGGCAGCCATTTTCCAGTGCCTGTAAAGCGAGCAATCAGTCCTAAACACAGCGGGGAGCCATTTTGCACAGCGGGGAGCCATTTTGTGACCCACTGATCAGCTGTTTCAAAACCATCATTAAGCGAAAAATCAGTTCCTGAAGCAGGGAACCAATCGTTGTAAAGTGGATTTCCCCCATTTAAACATCGTTTTGTGATCGCTATTGCAATCGCAAAAAAATCATTGTAAAGCGGATTCGTCATGGAGCGGGGTAATCGTCAAGCAGGGCACCACTGTAAATAATTTGTCGCTCTGATTTTTGTTGCTTTCCTTCTGTAAAATTTTTCTTTGTGTCTTTTAAACCCTTTTTATAGTGTGCATGAATAAGTATTTTCCACGAATCTTAATTTAATTTCGGAGTTTTCGTCTTGAAATTTTTAGTTCCTGCATAAATAAATAAATAAATAAATAAACAAACAAACAAACAAACAAACAAATACGAAAGATATCGCCATGGGGAGGGGGGCAATGATAACTTCCTCAATGGCTCAAGGGGGTGTTTCTTTCAAAAAGGTTAAGAACTACTGATTTCCTGGGCAACATGGTAAATTAAATGAGGGGAGGGAAAGAGGTAGTTAAGTAGGTGTAAGTATGCTTACATAATCAGGCTAGACGGTTCACACTTCATTTCACACTATTAGAAAAACAGAATCACTACACTAAAAACAGATACTGATTTCCTGGGCAACATGGTGGGGTAAATGAGGGGAGGGAAAGAGGTAGTTAAGTAGGTGTAAGTATGCTTACATAATCAGGCTAGACAGTTCACACTTCATTCCACACTACTAGAAAAACAGAATCACTACACCTTAATAAAAACAGAGCTTGAAAATGTTACTTTTTTGAGTATAGTTCCCAGAAACATGCTATGCTGGCTGGCAGATTCTGGGAACGGTAGTCAAATCTTTCTCAAACCTTTGAGGAGGGGGAGCCCAAACAAACAAACAAAATCAAGAGATCCGCGTATCTTGAATTACGGCACAGCTAATTTAAATAATGAGTTTCAGTTACAGGTCACAATTCTGATAGATCTATTGAGAAATGAGGAAGCCATGACGCTGTTAGGCAGTGTTAAACTCTGAACTTAATGCAGGAATAAGTTATAAGAAATCAGAAGAATGAAACTTGGAAGGCAGCAAGGAAGAAATTGGAAAAGAGCATCAAATGTAAGGAAGTGTCACTGGAGATCAAGACCATCCACATGCTTGTATTTCTGATCACAACGTATGGATGTGTGAAAACTGGACAGTTAAGAAAGCTGATAGGGGAAAAAAAACTGATTTGTTTGAAACATGGTACTAGAGAATAGCTTTGCAGATACCTTGCATTGCCAGAAAGGGAAACTAGATCATATCAAGCCTAACCTTTCTCTGGAGGCAAAAATGGTAAAACTGAGGTTGTCATACTTTGGGCACATCATGAGAAAGCATTGTTCTCTGGATATGACAATAGTGCTGGGAAAAATTGAGAAGATTAGGAGAACAGAAAGACCAAACACGAGATGGCTTGACTGCATAACGGAATCACAGCCTTGCATTGACAAGGCTGAGCAGGATTGCCTGACCTTTATTTTAAGAGATGGGCCATGAATTCCAAACTGCAACGTGGCTAGGAAGGAGCTTGAAAACAACCTGCATACTGCATTATCACCCTCTAAGAAGCGAACGTGGCTTCAACCTGTGAATTTGGGACATTAATAACAGCATATAGATTTGGAACTACCCACAAGAATTTGAATATATATACACATACACACACTTAATGGTCAAAGGTATCACCTGTTACTGTACAGTATTTGTATTCATTCATAGGGTAGCAGTCGGAGGCATATAACAACAAAGTCAGAGGCATGTAACAATAAAGTTACGTATGCATCTTAAGAGAAAGGAATTTATTTTTAGATTATATATCCCTGTTGCAAAATGTGATATGCCAGCCCTCTTGTATCTTCCTGTCAGTGGACCCTGGACATCTGCCCCAAACTCTTTCTCAAAACATGCTACTATGACCAAAACACAATGGTTCCATCTCCCTTCTTTGGTCATTTCTTGCTTATGGGTGGCTCCTTTTTCTTTCTTTAAAATTAAGAGAAAAACCAATGAGAACACAGTCAGGGTAGTACTTGCCCGGTTTTTCATGAAAAGCCATTGTGTCTGTGTGAAGATACTTACCGGGAACCTCCTTGTGATTTGTATCCTTCTGCAGGCTACACTCAATGTCCGGCTTGCCTCTTTCCAGGTAAAAACCTCTTCCCACAACAAAGATGGCCACCAGCAGAGTGAGAAGGAAGCACAGACGTTCTGTGATTGCTAGAAGTAAGTCGATTGGAGAAATAATGGGCCACATTCTCATGGAGAGGGAGAAGGCCTGTAAAAATGAGAGTGGGAATAAGAATGGTGGCTGGCATGATAAAGATCTTGATGTTATTACCTCTCAGAGATGGCCTGTCAGACAGAACTGTGGGGAGAGATTGATTGATCCAGGAAGTTATGAGGAGAGACATCGGCCAAAAGGGCTAATTTAGATTTGGGGATGGTGTGATTGGACTACAGCTCCCATCAATCCCAGGCAGCATAGGAAAAAATGAAGGATTAAATCTTAACCTTGGATTAACTGATGATGGGAGAACCCTGGACTTGGGGTTCCCTCTTCCCCAGTGGGGTCTGACACCATATTCTCTCAGATGGGTCAGAGGAGGGGGTGAGGAGGACCCCTCGCCATTCACACTGAGAGGCCCTATCCTGAATTTGAGCCTGGGACTTCCCAGAGATGAAACCTAAGCGGTTGCACCTGGCCCAAGGCTCCTTCAGCAGCCTAAGTAGTCTCTATGAGTGGGCCCTCAAGCTGGAGGGAGGTGGTGAATGCCCCGTGATGCCTCTGCTCCCTTCCTCCTGTTGTGGGCGAGGAAGCCTCTGTGGACCTTGCAGTGTAGATTTGAGACTCACACCCCCTTTCCTTGTTAACATGAGTACTCAACCTCTTGTTGCTAACCCTGTACGTTTTCACTAACCTACTAAAGTGTGTTCTAGTATGCAGGTGGGGAGCCTTAGACCTTGAAGCCAAATCTATCCTTCTAGGGGCGGAATCCTGCCCACAAGTGTTGCCCACTCAGCTCCAATGCCTTCCTGAATGAAAGGGTTGACCCTCTTCCTGAAAGTGATTTCCCAGATTTTACATGGCTCTTTTCATCTTCTAAATCAGTGGTCCCCAGCCTTGGGCAATCCAGGTGTTCTTGGACTGCAACTCCCAGAAGCCTTCACTACCAGCTGGTAGTTGCAGGCCAAGAACATGTGGGTTACCCAAGGCTGGGAAGCACTGTTCTAAAAGGTTGTTATTGTCTTTCCCAAAAGCCTACTTACCAGCAGAAAAAGTTTTAAGCCAACACGTGCTGTATTCACCAGAATTCTGTTATTCATGTCAGCTCACTGGTTCACTGGTACAGTATAAGCTCATTGGTGTAAACCTTAGTTGCAGATTGCTGCAAGTTGACAAGTTGGTGTAGGCATTTGGTCTCGCTCATCACTTGCATGATTTTGTGACAATTAATACCTACACTGACTTTTTAATCAAGAGCAGTCATTACCGACATTTATCCTGATGACTTAACACCGGCATATTTTTTCAACTAGATTCCAGCTATTGATATTTTTGTTTCAACCTTTTTGCCCTGGGCACCCCAAGTACCTTTCTGGAATACCACGTATGATTCCAACTTCCCTTGTTGGGTGGCCTGGCCTTTATTTTCCTTTCCCAATAATATACTTCTTTCTTGAACCTCAAATTGTTGTCCAAGACATATGTGCTCTTCTTGGAACACCTTTCAGCCAAGAAAGATGCTGTATGCTGCTTCCTTCCTTCTTTTTGACTTGTGCAGTCAAAAGCGTGCTGTGGCAGGATTTCCTGGAGGATTTCCAATGTCTCGGCTGTTCCTGTCTGTGCCAGTCACTGATGCAGGGGAAAATGCTCTCTCTGTCCTCATCCTATTTGTTGGATTGTGTACATGAGATGGAGTATGAAAGTGCTATACAGCCCTGTTTCCATTGTTGTGATTCACTGGATTAGATTCTTCTACAGTAGAGTGATGCAGGGTCCAGTGGTTATTTCCTTGGATGTCAAATAATGGGGGAAATTTCTTTTTGTTCCTTCCCTCCTCCTCTCTGCTGTAGCTATTTGAAAGAGGTGCTATTAGAAGACAGCTAAGCAGGAGCTCCATGACAGATGTTGCACTAGAGTGATGGAACTGCTGTCATAGCCTTCATCACGATAATTTTCCTTGGTAATCCTGATTTTTCAGGCAAGAATCTCCCCACTTTTGGGATGGAGTTTGAATTCCTGATTTTAAGTCAAGAACAACAGTTCTCTGTTATGTTTCATTGGCATAACTGGCACCCTCACATTTTTGTTGTTGTTGCAGCAATGCCTTTAATGTGTTTTCACTGTAATAGTTCATGAATTCCCTTGAGTTACACCTTAGACATTCTCTCTCTTTTTAAAATAATTTTCTTTCTGTGTGTACTTTCTTTAGTGAGTGGGCAGTATTGCAATATCTATCGAAGTGGTTGTTTTGTTGTTTTCTTGTGCACCCAAACTGTATCTGATCTATTTGACTAACTGTAATACATCAAAATATGTTTGCCCCACTCCAAAATGCCATTATTATTATTCCTTTGTGAAAACAGTATTTGTAGACAGGGGGTAATTCTACAATAGCTATTGTGTACTATATGTACCGTGTTCACACTGTGGCAAATGATTTTTGTAGTCTGTTTCCTGAATATGTGGCAAGAGGTAGCCTTCCCTGAAGCTATATCTGTAGGATCATATCTAGGGACAATGGAAGATGTATTCCAATACACCTTGCAGGCACCAGTATGAAAATATGGCTGTTATTGGATATAACAGGCCCACTATCTATTATGTGTCTTAGGTCTAAATTATCTTTGCATTTTTACAAGTGTTTTTAGACATGGCATATGTTATCTGCTTTTTATAGTCATTTGTTTCAAATTATATTGTCACAAATAGCAGTGATAAAATGTTTTCGTTTTCCATTTTGTTAATGTGCTGAAAATTATGCTGGCTGATTTGTCATGTGATTTGTCAAACATTCTGTTTATAATGGTAGCCTACTATTAGCTATGCAACTGTCATGACAGATAATGCTCAGCAGCACTCTTCTAGTAAGATAGGCGAACATGTTATCCTCCAGATATTGTTAGACTGGAAATTCCAGCTCTATAACCCCGATGGCTGTGATGGCTGGATCATGCATTCTGAAGGGCTACATATTCTCCTCTCATGCTGCTTTTCTGGTAAAGTTGTTCTGCTGAAGTAGCCCAGTCTACTGCTGAAGAACAGCTACACCTAGTTTTTTGCTCAGGGACAAAACACAAGGCAGTCATCTGTAGGACAGAGACAGGCCATAGAAGAGCATACTAATATGGCATGGTGGCCTCTCTCTTTGGCCTCAGATTGCCTCTGTGTGCAGGCACCATGTAATTGTTATTGTCCACGCTGTCTCTAATCAGTAGGGTTTGATGACATGATTGCTGAGGAAACTCTGTTTTTATCCCATTTGCTGCATGTTGTATTTTCTCATCCTGCCTTCTCACCATTATTGTTCTATAACAAAAAGATCTTGTGCCCACAACGCACAATTTATGTGCTAAGACTGTCTGGCTATTTCCCCTGGAGTCTTTGTGTTGTCACGCTTCAATTATTTATTCTCTTGTGTACAGTTAAATTGGTGAATCTCTCATGTTGTCTGGCCCTCAATATATAAAGAGAACTGACATCCAAATACCATATGGAAGTCCAAAGACTGCATGGGAAATGTTCACTTAGCCTTACCACAATCTTTGTCATGTAATTAAGTGGGAAAAGGTGCTACCTGCGTATTTGTTTTGTGTAGCAAAAGTGGCAGTAGAGGCATTTTGTTCTTCTACTCCCCCTGTGTTGTTGGTTGCTTGGGCATGTAGTGGTCAATCATGCAAAATTAAATTTGGCCAAAGTTCGGACTGTACTCTATAAGACTAAGTCATTACTTAGATTGACAGGTGGAGTTTTGGTTAGCTTTGACTACTGCTTGAAGAACCAGGTAACCAAATGAAGCAAGTAGAGAATTTAGATACCTGAGTGCCCAAATTATTACTAATCCTTTACCTCTGTTGGATCTTGAGATATATAGTATTTCCACTGAAATGTTTCTTGTACAGTATCGTGAAGAGTCAATTTTAAGGAATCTCTTTCTACAGAGGTGCTGGTGCCTGATTGCATGTGTTTGGGGAATCTTTGGCAAAAGGATAAGATCTTTGGATGGCTTTCATTATATCAGTGTCTGTGTCTTCTCAATTGTTTAATGACAGCAATAGAAAGATTAGCTTTTTCTCCTAAGGTAGGCTGCTAAATTGATGAAACCGAGGAGGAATAGCTGCAAGTGAACTCAGGCTGTGACTACACTTTATTGCAATTTGATTTCCAGCCTATATTGCAGCTGAATTTGCAGCGGTGAACCACGCTGGTGCTGTGGATTGATTTGGGAGTTCAGTGTTCACATTCAGTTTTTTTTTCTTTAGAGCTTTTCCATTCTTAATAGCTTTTCTTAAAGAATGCCCTTGTAGGCACCCTCTGGTCCTCTCCTCCTGCCCTCCTCATTGTCTTAAATGCTTAAGCTCTATTTGTAGCTTGATAGTTTCTAGAAGAGATCTGGAAGTTCCATTTTTTAAGATGCCCCTGTCCCTGGCAAACAAGCTGGCTTCCTGGGCTGCAAAGAAATGAAAGGAAAAACAAAAGTCCCCCTCCTTGCCCTTTTCTGTCTCTTCCCACTTCCAGAAGAAAGCCTTCAATTTCTAATTTTTCTCTAACAGATACAGCGCATCAGAGCTCACCTAACTGGACATTAAAAAGCATTTATTTTCTTAAGAGCAAAGCTTTTCTTAACAACACTCAACTCCTTTCTTAAAGGAGCAAATCAAATAGAATTGCTATGCCACGCAGATGCAAAGATCCCACCGTACAACTCTATTTAGCTTGCACCAGCCCACTCCCAATGAGTCATGTAGCCAAGCCCAAAGTTAACTCCACTAGAGTTACACTTTTTAGAAAAGGCGTATGTACTGTATATGGAAAACAGAGTAAACAGCAGTGTTACCACAATGAATAAACTTCTATGACAGAACTAAAATAAGTATCTAATTGTGTAAACAAAAAAACAGAATGTAGTAACACAAAAGGTTGCAGTATGTGGAAAGGTAAGTTAATATTAGACGTTCCATTTGCAGACAGAACATTAGCAACCACAAAACCAGTTCAGGCAGTCTCAACCTTTTTTGGCCATGGTCGTAAACACAATATGAGAGAATTATAGGCTGAATCAGGATTGTATAATTCCCATAAAAACCCCTGTAAGGTGGTGTGTGAAGAATTGTTTCCTGTCTGTGGCCCCCCCTTGAAGTGTGTCAGGGGCCGCCAAGGGCCATATGCTCCCTGTTGAGAATGGCTGATTACTACTTGATTTTAGGAGCAATGACTATAGATAGGGAGTTTGTTCTTGGTTGTTAGGGAAGTATATGCCACCATTTATTTGGTGTTTTTTTAAAGGGTAGATAATCTTCCCAAGTTAGGGGCTGCAGCCTCACACCACTGTTGCCAGAAACATACTGTCACTTCTGTTGTGGCCAACATTTCTATTTCAGTGTTTGAAAGTCCTGTTGATTCTGCCTAGGAACATGGCATACAGCAACTTGATTGGGGACACAATTCTGCTGCAAAACAAGGAGTGTGTTCCCTCTGTATATCTGGGTGATGGGTTAGGAAAGTGAGGCCACCCTACACTCCATTTATAAGGATTGCCAGATCTATGTGAAAATGAGACATATAAACTCACTACTGGTGAATCATAGGATTATAGACATATGTGTGTAGACATCCTTCAGTCTCAAGAGACTACGGTAGTGTGCTTTGTATGGAGGACATGGAACAGCATCTAGTGTGGCTGAGAAGGCCAATTTGAGAGTGACAATTCCTTCCACACTGAAGACAAATACAATCTGTCCCCTGTCCAGCTCCCTGATTTTGCTTCGACTCTGTATGCGAAGCTGGAGTGTCCTTTCCAGAGCATGAAGCCTGGGTAAAATAATATGGAGGATAGGCTGTTACCCAAGCAGCAAATCCCCCCTCTCCACATTGCAGAAATAGTCCAATTGAAAAGCAAAAGACAATACAACTGGTTCCAGTGATGTAGCAGGAGTCCAACTCCGGATTTTGCCTCGAGGTTAACTCCTGAAGCCTTTTCCATCAGTGGATATAGCCACAAGGTTTGAAATTGGTGTTTTCCTTCTCCTAGATGGGCTGCTTCTAAGACTGATGAGCCCCACCTACCTGGCATAGATATGTAGATCTGGAAGTAACCCCAAGGGGCGTCTAGTCCAGGCCTTTGAGAAAACAGAAATCCACATGCTTTGTAGATGACCACTCAACTTCCATTTAAAAAGCATAAACAAAAGATATTAACTACCTTCCAAGGTCCTCCATTCCACTGTCAAATAACTCTTGCCATCTGGAAATTCTTTCTAATGGTTGCTTGGAATCTCCTTTCTTATAAATTGAATCCATTGGTTTGTGTCCTGTTCTCTGGAGCATAAAAAAGAAGTTTGAGGGGGGGGGGCTTCAATGATGCCCCCCCAACCTCCCTAACATGAAAACTGATGCAACTGAAGGCCTCCAAGAACAGAAATAAGCACGTTTTAAATTAAAACAAATCTGAACTTGTAGACTCTGGGAGGGCTCTGGGAGGTGTAGGGGGCCACCAAAATCCTGCTGACTGCAAGCAGCCCATAGGCCACACCAAGCCCACCCCTTCTGTTGCAAATTGAAGGCATTGGTGTGTGTTTGTGGGAGGAAGGGAAACATCCTTCCTTTCCCCATTCTGCTGTCAGAAGCAGTTGTGTCAGTAGAACCAGAAGACACCATTGGATTCAAACCAATGTTTGTGGCAGTTCAGCCAGGAGAAAGGGGCTGGATCTTTAAAAAAAGCAGGTGCTTATATTCAGGTACACTGTAGTCCTAGGCAAATATTATTCATACTCATTAATAATATTTTGTGGCTCCCCCATTTATGTTATTCATTGCAAAGTACTTGTGCATAATAGGGAACAGGTCCACACTATTAGCTTTTATACTCACATGCTCCTTGTTACCTATGATGCTCTCAGAGCACATGTACGAACTCACACATTCCAAAACATACCTCAAAATTCTGGAGCAGATGATAAAGCAGTCAGTTTGCAAGCACCTTGAAAATAATTTAGTGATAATTAGAAGTTAATATAGATTTGTCCTGCCACACTAATCTCATGTTTTGACTGAGTAAGTTCCCTAGTAGATGGTGAGAATGCTGTAGACATTTTTTTTACTTATATCTTGACTTCAGCAAAGCTTTTGATTATGTGCCCCAGGATATTCTGTTTAGCAGGATAACTAGGTGAGGGCTGGATAGAACAATTATCAGGTAGATACACAGTTGGTTCTAGAATTGTTGTCAGAAGTGCTTATCAACTGTTTTTCCTTAAACTGGGAGGAGATAACGTGGTGTACCCCAAGGCTCAGTCCTGGGCCCAGTGCACTTCAACATTTTTTAATGACTTGGATGAGGGGATGCAGGGGATGCTTATCAAGTTTGCAGACAACACAAAATTGGATGGAATAGCTGACACCTTGAAAGACAGAAACAGAACCCCAAAAGGTCTTAATAGGCTCAAGTATTGGACTGGAAACAACAAAATTAAATTTAACAAGGATAAGTGCAAAGTTCTACATCTGGGGAAAAAGAAATAAAATGCACAGGTTCAGAATGGAAGATACTTAGCTTAGTAATTCTACATGCAAGAAGGATATTGAGTGTGATATGGCTCAAAAAAAGATAAATGTTATGTGAAGCTGCATTAACAGAAGTACAGTATAGTCTTCAAATCATGTAAAAAAGCTGCATTAACAGAAGTATAGTCTTCAATCATGTGAAATGCTAGTTCCCCGCTATTCAGCACTGGTTAGGCCTCATCTTGAATACTGTACTGTGCCCAGTTCTGGATAATACACTGAAGAAGGAAGCAGACAGATAGAAACAGTTTCAGATGAAGGCATCAAGGATGATCAGAGAAGAAACAGTTTCAGATGAAGGCATCAAGGACGATCAGAGAGGACTGGAAACAAAGCCCTGCGAGGAAAGACTGAAATAACTGGGCATGTTTAGCCTTGAGAAAATAAAACTGAGGGGAGATATTATAGCACTTTTCAAATACTTGAAAGGTAGTAATACAGAGGAAGGACAGGATCTGTTCTCCGTCATCCCAGAGTGCAGGACACATAATAATGTGGTCAAGCAACAGGAAGCCAGATTTAGGCTTCTTAACTGTTAGAGCAGTATGACAATGGAACCAGTTCCTCAGGATATGGTGAGTGCTCCAATGCTGGAGGCATTCAAGAGAAAATTGGACAGCCATCTGTCAGACATGATTTGACTTGGATTTTCTGTATTGAGGAGAGAGTTGGACTTGATGGTTTTATAGGCCCCTCCAAACTTTATTACAGTATTCTGTGATTCTATATGCAATCATTGTATCGGGAAACCACAATACAATTGCAATCAAGCAGCATCAGTGGCAAACCAATACAAATATTATAAGGAAATACCCACTGAAAGGAAGCCAAACTTGCAGTGCTGAGACAGCTGCTGCCTGGAGAAGGGGGTAAAGGAAAGAAATCCAAAACTGGGGGAAAGGTGATGATCTCTTCCTAACCACATACTCACATCCAAAAGGGGAACAGATGGGGAAGCCACAAATACCTGGGGAAGGTATTCCCAAAAATAGATTGAGGGGTGACAGAAATTACTTCTGCTTAGTCTCATTAGACTGTCTTGATGCTGGGGAGCATTGGTACAGTGCCTAAATAAAGCAATGCAGGAAAAGGGAAATCTTGACCAGTGATCTCAAGAAAGGACAGCCTGATGAGGTTTTTTTTTGTAAGAAGCACGAATTTAAGAGATATGTAGCGTAACAGTGAAGACTTATGTTCACAACCTGAGTTTGATCCAGGGCTGGGGTAGGCAGGCAATGCATAGTCTGCATAATTAAATTGTAAACCACCCAGAGAACACTCTGGGGTGGTATGTAAGCAGCATACTTTAACAAGACTTTCACAACCTGAGTTTGATCCAGGGCTGGGGTAGGCAGGCAATGCATAGTCTGCATAATTAAATTGTAAACCACCCAGAGAGCACTCTGGGGTGATATGTAAGCAGCATACAGTACTTTAACAAGACTCTCTAGCTAAGGTCTGGCTTTGGGGAAAGGACTAAGAAAATGATCCAGCTTAGTCTGATTTCTGAAAGACTTTGGCTTTCAGTGAAGTTAGCTGAAAGGGATATTGATAATGGTACAGGAGGAAATGTCAAGGCAGCTTCAGGAGAGAATGGAAATAGCAAAATATGGCCATAACAGGCCTCTTTGTGGGTTTCTTGTGGCCATTTGGTGCAATGCCTAGTCCTTCTTGTCAGCCTAGTGCCCACCTCCCATCTCCCACCCTGTTCTGACCTGATCATAATCTTGCACAGCTGGCTAATCCTTTCTGAATGTTCAGGTGTCAGCAAACAATAGGGTCCCCTGGGCTCTTGCTGGGAGATATCAGAGGGTGCTTTACTTCTAATCACTTGGGCTGAGAAAGGCAGGATGCAGGTGATTTTTAGTGGGATTTCCTGCCATAATCCTCTCTTTCTCTGGGAGGTGCTCATGCGTAATGCCTCATTAACTGCAGTATCTACATTCTAGCAGACTTTATTGAATGGGGTCATTCAGCATTACAATTCCTGTAATTTTCCATGTTTTGGGACCCTAATTTAATACTCAGATATGCAGATGATAACACTCTGATGGCAGAAAGTGAGGAGGAATTAAGGAACCCCTTAATGAGGGTGAAAGAGGAAAGCACAAAAATGGTCTGAAACTGAACATCAAAAAAGCCTAAGATCATGGCCACCGGGTCCCATCATCACCTGGCAAATAGAAGGGGAAGATATGCAGGCAGTGACAGATTTGCCTTTCTTGGGATCCATGATCACTGCAGATGGTGACAGCAGCCACGAAATTAAAAGATGCCTGCTTCTTGGGAGGAAAGCAGTGACAAAACTAGACAGCATCTTAAAAAGCAGAGACATCCCCTTGCCGACAAAGGTCTGCATAGTCAAAGCTATGGTTTTTCCAGTAGCGATGTATGGAAGTGAGAGCTGGCCATAAAGAAGGCTGACCTCCCAAGAATTGATGCTTTTGGATTGTGGTGCTGGAGGAGACTCTTGAGAGTCCCCTGGACTGCAAGGAGAACAAACCTATCAATTCTAAAGGGAATCAAACCTGAGTGCTCACTGGAAGGACATATCCTGAAGCTGAGGCTCCAATACTTTGGGCATCTCATGAGAAGAAAAATCTTCCTGGAAAAGACCTTGATTTTGGGAAAGTGTGAAGGCAAGAGGAGAAGGGGACGACAGAGGATGAGATGGTTGGACAGTATCATTGAAGCTACCAACATGAATTTGACCCAACTCTGGGAGGCAGTGGAAGACAGGAGGGCCTGGCATGCTCTGGTCCATGGCGTCAACAACAATTTAGTACTCTGACCAGTAAGGCCTTGTTTTCCCCATTTTTCTGGTTTAAACCACCATTCTGAGATTGTGGCTTCCATAGCTTTCCTTCTGAAGTGGTTGCTATTTTTCACCGGTATCTCTGTGCCATACACACACTATTGGGAAAAAAAACACATAAAAGCATTTGATCTAGATTTATCATGGGTTCCTGGGACAGGAGTACAAAGGGAGCAATATGAAGAGAATTGGGCTGTTACACTCAACCCCCACCTGCCTCAGGTGTAACCATAAAACAGCAACCATACTACAGAACTTCCTGACTTACCTCTAAGAGACACATGCTTGGAGAATTCTATCTTGCCAAGAACTTTCGGATTTTACCTCTAAGAGTCACTTTCCTTGTCATGAACTTTTAAACATTAAATTCTTCACACTGGTATAAACTTGATAGTGTTTTAATCCAGAAAAGCTGGTGTATTATATGGTGATTTTTATATCGCTGATTTCTGCATTTGTATGTTTGTTTGACCCTTGATTTCAGTACTAAGGGAAATGACTGCAGACCGAAATAACAGAACACACGCAAAACGCGGGAAGTTATAAATGCTGAAGGGAAAACACACTTTTTTTTCTGCAGCTGATCATTCAAGGAAAAGGGCACAAGAAGTGCAGGAGGCTGAAGAACTTTGTGCTGGGAAAACTCCGGAGGTCGGGTTCGGCTGCCACATAAAACCGGTTTAGAGCTACCGCCATCTAAAGTAAACATTGCAGCGAATGAACTCCCAAAGAACAGGGAAGAGGCCATAAAAGAGACTCTCGACTACAGGCAGATCCGTGAAAGCCAGGTCGTAGGGAGAGCGTTTGTCGTCCGCAGGCCGGCTCGACTTCGTTAGGGAAAGGATCCCCACCTCTCCGCGCAGCCGGCATGAGCCGGAGAGCGGGCCGGCCAGGCAGGACTATGTGTTATAGAAACTGTGGGTAGGGTTGCCACTTGGTCTGCTACCCTAGACATCAGAAAATGTGCTAAGTGAGAGGAGGAGAAGGATTCACAACAAACAAACGAAACAGCTGGATGATGGGTCCTGCTGATGACAAAGCCATTGTTTGGGGAAGTAGTATTTGTGTCAATACACAGTGACTAGGTCAATATATAGATGGAGGGAATTGCCTGCATTTTTTAATATATTTAAACAACCAAAATGCCTCTAGTGCCAGGATAATCTGGCTCTCTTTGAGTCATATTTGCCGTGATTTGGAGGGGAAGGGTACCATTTGCTGCTTCATTTCAGATAACAAATTGTCTTGGGCCACCTCTGGAATATCAGAAGCACTTGGTGTTTGGGGGGGGCTGGAGGAGATCCACTCCCCTGAGATCGTGCCTTGCTCTGGGGTGTTGTGTAAGAAGTAGTTGAGAAAGGTGCCCGCTCGGGCAAGGCCTGGACGTCTTTCTTGCATGCCAGGCTGGCACCAGGCTTATTTTGGGGGGAGGGAGGGGAGAAGCTGTTGGTTTTGAGCTAGCATTCCTAGGAAACCTTTTCTCCCCCCCACCCCCCGTGCAAGCAGGATAGCTTTTCAAAGCTCTGGACAGGCAGGCACGCAACAGGTTCAGCTTCCCCCCTCCCCCAGTTTGTCTCTGTGATGAAAAAAACAGCGTTGCCAGCTGCACTTTTGTCTGGCTTGCAGCTGTTAAAAGCGGCAGGAGCGCCGGGACAGGATTATTGGCATGGGGGGGGGGGGGGAAGATAGGAAACAGTCCTGTTAAGAGTAAAGGTTTGGCCTAGGGAACCAGCCCTTCGTGTTGGGAGAGAACAGCCCCCCCACTCCTGTTTTGAAGCCCCGGGAAACGGGGGGGGGGCAGATGCTTTTGCAAGAAGGAGAGAGAGAGAGAGAGAGGATGGCTCGGGGCTCCCCATGCCTGCCAGCTGCAGAAGGAGGAGGCGGCATAAGGTCAGGAAGACAGGATCATGGGAATCTGGGGAGGAAAAAAAACAAAACCAAGAAGAGGCTACACTGACAGGATTCATGCAGTTCCAGCCACCTTGGCTAATAAAAGTTGGCTGTTGGCTCAGGCTTGTGAAATTGGCAAAAAGCCCAGGTTAGTGCAGCCATCCTGCCCTTTCCATTTGGTAAAGAACCCACAAGGAGGTCAGGAGGAGGATGGCCAGATCTTCTTTTCTCTGCCCCACCTCTTCCAGGTTAAGGAGGCCGCCCACTGTAGCCTTGCCTCTGTAGCCATACAAAAGCAACTCAGTTTGGGCCTTGGGAGAGAATGGAGGCTTACCTGTACCCTAGAAATGGGTGTGTGCATGTGTGAAACAATTATTCCCATAGCTGTTAACTCCTTTGAGTATACATATGTAGAACATGGATGCCTGGTTCTCTCCTTCACCCTTGCAGCACTCCTGTTACACACGAGGGGCAGAAGCAAAGAGGTTGCATAGCAGGGATTGGTTTGCACCTGGCTGGGCTGGAACCATTGAAGAGAAAGGATGTGTTGAACTCTAGCGCCAGGCTTTGAGTACATTGCACTGATTTTTTTTTTAATCTGTAACCAGTAGAAGCTCATAAATAGCATTATAAAATGGTAGTAGAGTGATTGCCTTTTCCACCTCCACAACAGGGACCGCTTTTTAAAAACTGATTCTTCAGGGCAAACAAGAAAAGGAAGTGACCCTGCCTCAGAGATGAAAAAATAGTAAGAGGAAAAAAATTAGCCCAGCCCTTACTTGGTTTCATTCTGTCGTGCAAGAAAGCAACTAAATATTTTTTATTGTACAGAATGGTATGTGTTTGGTATATGTGTGTGTGTTTGAGGTATTATAAGACTGATAGATCAGGCCTTAATTTTGTGTCAGGAGCTTTAGGTAGCATATGGATTGGAGGCAGTGCTAGAACAGACATTCCTTGCATGATGATTTACAACTGCAGAATATCTTTCTTTGGAAGCTTGCCTGAGGCCCTTCTCATGCACCTTGTTTTTAGATGTGATAGTGGGTGGTTTGAAAAACATAGTTAAATATCTGTAGCTTGTCATCAAGGCTTGTGCTCTGGTAGCCTAAGGTTAGGTTGTGTGGTGAATCTGTCTTTGAAAAGTATGCACAAGTTGCAATTGGTTAAAATGTAGTGTGCAATACTCCTATTACAATCAGATTATAGAGATCCAATGACACAAGAATGGGATGTTTTTGGTGCTCCAGATATTTATTTTTTGGCTGCGGCTCCCATAATCTGCTTTCATTCTTTATGTGAGCGAAGGTGCCTGGTAGCTAAAGTCCAGCCTCTGCTATAGAACGTGCTAATAGCACCTGTTGTGAAGGAATTAAATAGGTTGCCAGTTTATCACAATCCTTAAATCAGATTGCTGATATTCACCTTTAAGCTTGCAACACCCATGGATAACAATATTTGAAAAGCAACATCAAGGCTGGCGTGGTGAGTGTGGGCAGTGGTGGAGAGTAGTGGGAGTTTCAGACCAACAGCATCTGGACTGAAGGAGGTTCATACATGGTTATCCCAGCCTCCAGTCATATGCAGCCAAACATGCCCCAAGAGACTCTGTTGCGCTTATATTTCTTTTCTAAGATGTGGATGTAGAACGGCTGTGGGAGGCTGCTCTAGGTTCTGTTGTGATGCTGTAGTCATGAAGTCCATTTCCCTGTGAGCTCTGGACAACTGCCCAATACATTCTCAACATTCAGAAGCTTGGTGAAAATGTACTTAATTTCAAAAGAACTTTGTGGTCTTTGACTTTCTAAATTGCTCGGGGATAATGAGATTTTAAGACACTTGGATCTTATTTTAATAGTTTAATGTGAGTCACTACAAGGGTCTGTATTGACTGGCTTACAGAATGAAGTTTCTTTTAAACAAAATTGCAATCAGATTTATTTGCTGGTCTTTCTTGTGTGTGCAAATTCAGTTCTGTTGTGGTGTGAAGAGGCCCAGAGCTTAACGACCATGCAGGCGTAATAATTAAATGGTTCATTCTACCGTCATTTATTCTGTAGCATGCCATGGAAGTTTCATTTCCTATTTGTACCTGTGTACATTTTTAACACACAATCCACTGGTAATAATTAAATGGTTCATTCTACCGTCAATTTATTCTGTAGCGTGCCATGGAAGTTTCATTTCCTAGTTGTACCTGTGTACATGTTTAACACACAATCCACTAAGATGGTGGGTGTAACAACAGAAGTTCAGGCTATAGGTCCACTGTAGTGTTTTTCTTTTGTTTTAAATTCTTTGGACTGATTCCAACTCTGATCTCTATAGTTTTGGAGGTTGCATGTGACTAACCCATCTCAGCAATCCCTCTCCAGCCCTGAAGCCTCAGTAGCCCGGGACTAGAGCTGCTTCCGGACACACTCAAGGGGCCATGAGACTAGCAGGTGAGTTGCTGCTGGAGAGGAAAGCAGAAAGGGTGCAAGAGAAGAAACAAGAGAGCAACAACACTTGAGGTCCAGGAGCCTCCCGAGAGCCGTTCAAGCTCCCTGGGGCAGGGAGGGGATAATGCAGCAGTCAGGATTGCATGACAGTAGCTCTGGGTTTCAGCTCTTCAGGGCTTCGGTGATCTTGCTGCAGGCCAAACCTTAAACCTTTCTTTACCCTTGTAGGTCCACTTCGTGTCATCGTGATCGTCTTGACGGCAGGCCTGACCTGGATCCTTGTTAGCATCCTGTTGGGCACTCAGAGCGGCTTCTCGCGCCTGCAGCAGCTCCTCAGTAGTAAGAGGCAGAAATACATCTTGGGGATGATGGGATACAGAGCAGGGCCCCCGGAACATGGGAGTGTCACGTTGCTCTTGGGTCTGCACATGTCTCTCTGCAGTTTGCTCCTATCTCTCTCTCTCTCTTTTTTTTTTCTGGATTCAAAGACAGGAGGAGAATGGTGATGATTGTTGGATTGTACGGTGGCCTTGTGGGCTTAGCTGCAAGGTAGCTAAAAAGGAAAAGTGACTTGTGTTAAACCAGTGGCTCTCATCCTTAGGTGCCCAGCTGTTGTAAGCACTATGAGAACTAAGGTCTAAGGATGATAGTGACAGGTTCTGGCAACTGTAATTCAATATCATCTGGGGATCCACAATTTGGAAACCACTGTGTTAAACAGATGTACAGAGGAGCAGTGGAAAAGCAGTTGTCTCTTTGATGTGACTGGTAAATGGATCCCAGTTAATGTGCTTCCAAATAGCAGGGGACAGATCCTGAAAACTGGCTCTCAGGTTTAGCAAACTTTCTCACTCACCTCTGGCCGAAAAACAACACATACCCTCATGTTTCTAGCTCATGCATTTCTTTGAAGAGCACTCCTCCCACACACACACACCTCTTTTTTAGTAATGGCATTTCCAGTCTTAGATATCTTGAGCAGCTTTTTGGAACCTTTGATTGCTTGATTGGGATGTTCTAGTCCAGTTTGTATGTGCAGAGTGAAAGAAGTACTGTAATTTCCCCCCGCGGAGTACTACGCGGCTGTGTCAAATACAGAAACAAAGGATCATGTCATCTAGAAGCAGTGTAACTAAACACTCAGGCTAGTAAACCAAACTGAGCCAGATGTCTTCCTGTTTTTAAGACGGGGAAGAATCCTTTTTAGAAATTGCTTCTCCAAACCTTCTGAGACTGAATCCCTTCAAAATGACCTGCTTTCTTCTCTGCTAATGGATTAACAGCTGGTGGTGTCTGTTTCATGCTCAGGGAGATGTAGCAGGACACATGTGGTTGCCCTGAACCAGATCTTAACTGATGTTGCTGTTTTCTGCTTTCTTACAGGTCCTGAGAATTCTCCTACTTCAGGTAAGTGGATTCATCTGCATGCTCATAGAGCCCCGACCACCCTAACCCTCCTCTGGCCCCTTTGATTTAGGGTGGAGTATGGCTTCTGGCTATGAGTTTGTGAGTAGTGGCCATCAGCCTGCATTTCCCAACCCTGTAGCCTTCTGACAGTTGGATTTCCAGCTGTTGGAGGTAAGCTCCCACCATTTCCAGCCAGCTTTGCCAATGTTTTGTGGAATAATGGGATATGTAATGCAACAGAGCCACATCATAAGAAGTCTACAAGTATGGGTGTGTGCACATGTAGGTACTGCTTGCAAACCCATGGCCCTTCTCTTGTTAGGATTCACACAAGAGTGGGTCTCTGAGGATCTGAAACTTGTTGTCTGTCATCCCACAGAGAAATGAGGAGGCTTTCATCTCTGTGGGGTTTCTGTTCTGGGTTTTGTTTTCCCCTAGCAGAACTAGAGCCAAATCAGATTACTTATCTCCCTGTGCTACTTACTGCGGTGGATCCAGGGTAAGGTGGTTGAGAAGGCATGGGGAGAGGTGGGAGAGAGATGCACACATGATGAGACATAAGGTGTACTCTAAAGAGCCATCCACAGGAGATAATTAAAATGAAAAGAACTATGGGGAGGCAGGCTGAAAGTTAGCTTTGTTTCTTTGAACCATAGGCCAATCATGCAGCATTATCAGCAAAGGAGTATACAGTTTTTGCAGAACTGATGACCAGAAATGAGGATCCAGTTAAAATCCATCCAAAAAATTAGAGAAGGGAAGGAGAGAGGAAGGAACTTTGCCAGGTCCCTGTGTTGGTCTCCGGGATACCAGTTGTTCTGTTCACAGAACAACACTTGTTACAGTTTGGGCTGGATGCTACTTCTTAACATAGATCCAATGACAGTGTTGTAACTGGACTGTACGGTAGGGTCTCCCCATGGCAGCAGGAGCAAGAATTAAATTGGTGGTAGCAGAAGTTGTAATGGGTGGGTGGGGGGTTGTAGAGCACATCTGCAAAGAAAGCACCTATGATACTGGTTCCCAAATTGGGGTCTATAAGTGCCAATCAGGCATTAAATGTCCAGAAGCTCCTGCCAGGATGGCCAGAGGTCAGGGATTCTTGGAGTCAGAGTTCAGCAACCCAGCTTGGAAACTCTTGTAAGATATTGCAAGTGAGAGATAAGGGTTCTGCCTTTCCTCTGCTTTAATCTTGGTGGGGTTTCTGTTCTGGGTTTGTATCTGTTTTGTCATCCCTAGAACCTTTGTCCTTTATCAGGTTTCAGCAAGGACTTTGAGCTCATCAGAGTGATCCCAGCACAGACTAATGCAGGCAGCAACAGTAGGCATCACAGTGAGTTGAGATAAGTTTGGTCTGCGGGTGAAGACACAGGACCAGTGGACAGATTCTTAAGCAGCTTGGGAAGCTACACTTTAAGGACTCCCAATTATGAGGGGTCCATAACAACCACCCACACATACATACAATATCAGTTTTTACATAACTGTTCACATTTTGGGAGAGGGATAATACTATGGGGCTTATTAAGTTTGACATAGCTTAGGATTCAGCACATTTTACTCTAATGCTAGACAATACAGTGAATGACATGAAACTTGTATAGGAAGCTGGTGTTCTTTTCAGATTCTTCCTTTGCCTCTCATATCAAGGGCTTGGCCAAGGAAGTGTTCCTGGTTTGGCTGACAACTCCCATCAGTATCTCTTCCACCTACATGGCATTTAGCAAGGAATAATGGGAATTTGTCGTCTAAAACGTTTTGGAAGGTCAGAGGTTTCCCTGGCCCTGACATGAGGGAACTTCATGACCTGCCCTGGTTCACAGGAGGAGAAAATTTGCTCCTTTCTCTAATACAAAATTCAAGTCCATTGGTAGAATATACTGTATATATTTTGGGTGTAGAAGACTTGTACTTAATTTGAGTAGAAATGATGTTGGGTTTGGAGGGCTGGGAAAGTGGCCACAGCCCAGAACATGGAAGCATTACTTCTGAATGTTGGCCAGGGATTCTGGAAATTGTACTTCCAAAAGTAGTTTCCCCAAACTTTGCCCCAACCCTGAAGGACTGTTGCCAGTCAGAGTGGGCAGTTCACAGCACAGTTTGGCTCTGAATAGGATAGCGCTTTCCAACTTTTCCATAGTCCTTGGGATCAATCCTTTATTTTCCTCTGGTGGTGAAGAATTGGCTGTTTTAAGTTATGGGGTGTAAAACCTTAATCTTCTGGTGTGTTGGTCTACCATCTGGCTGTGCTGGCCAGAAATGATGTGAGTTATCACCCAAAAAGTCTGGAAGGTAACTGGCTGGTGAAGTGGGAATAGTGTTGTGTCCTTCTAGGGCTAAGGTTTTGATTCTAGACCGGCAAGTTTAAGACCTCCTTAATCAGGCAGATGTCAGGAACTGATGATCTTCTAAGAATGGGAAGTTTAACTGGATTTGTTTATTTTCCTTCCATTTTTAATGTTAATTATCTTTAGCATTTTGACTGAAGTATTAAAAAAAGTAATTTTACTTGAGTTTTAATATAATCGATTTTATTTTTTTGCTTTGATACCTGTAACTTTATCTGGCTGGATAGCTTAGTAGTTTAGGTGTTGAAGCCAGAGGTTGGGAGTTTGATTCCCCACTGTGCCTCCTGTGAGCACAGTCAGCCTGTGTAGCCTTGGGCAAGCTCCTTAGTGCCAGGGCACCCCCAAAAGAAGGGCATGGTAAATCACTTCTGTGTACTCTGTGTAGAATCCCCTAGAATGGGTTGCCATAAGTCAGAATTGGCTTGATGGCATGCAGTTACGATTATTTGTAATTTTTTGTGTTTTAGTGCCATGGGGGTGGTCTTGCAGTTTGTCAGTTGTCAGTCACATACCCAATGGCACAAAGAATTTCTGTGTCCCATTGCACAATCAGAGTAATACAAGGCTTGTGACAAGCGGTCAGCAAACTAACTCCTATTGCTTGTGTGACTATTTTCAATGTTACTGCATGATACAGTAGGTTTTTAGCCACTTTTCCCCCAACAACATGGTAAAATGCCTTTAGTCCCAGTCCTTGGAGAAAGGTTATTGGAATGAAATGGCTCGCCAGACATTGTTGGATTGCAATTCCCTTCTCTCGCCATGATGTGGGACTGAGAGAAAGACAGTCTGACAGCATCTGGAGGGTGACAAGTTGCTCATCCTTGACTTGAAGGGTTGGTGTCTCTTGAGTATCCATGACTGATGTTATAATCATACACATATTTGTCTAGGTCAGGGGTCTCCAAAATACGGCCCACCTGGCCTTTTTATCTGGCCCGTCTGCACGTGCGGGTGTGTGTGTGTACGGGTGGGCGGGAGTACTGATGGGTGGGTGGGTGAGAGTGTGTGCGGGCATGGGATGAGAGTATGCACATGTGCGCATGTTCCTTTGGCCTTTGTAAATATATTATGTGGCCCTCCATGTGAAAAGTTTGGAGACCCCTGATCTAGGTGTAAGATTTCCTGGAAGTGACAACTCTTCAAAGCTGGCGTGTCAAGGATCGCACTGTGACTTGCAATAGTGGCTTCCTTCCCCATGATTTAGTCACCAGTGGGGTGCTGCAAAGCAAGCAACCAGCCATCCAGTGTGGATCTGAAGGGTTCTTTTACCCACAAGGCTTTAGGATCACATGTTTGTCTTTTCATGTTTGCCCTATTCACAGAACCCAGGCCCAAGAAGTACAAATGTGGCCTTCCTCGGGCTTGCCCAGAACATTCCTTTGCCTTTCGGATCACAAGCGGTGCTGCAAATGTCATTGGACCCAAAATCTGTTTGCAGGACAAAATGTGAGTTGTCTGGTATTATATAACAGATACAAGTTTTAACCAAAAGCCTAAGTATCTGTTAAATATCAACGTAGTATATATGCTGTTCCTAATTTGCCTTTTTTTTTGTAGATCTCCCAATGTTGTTTCTGAAATCTGTACGCTGTTCCTAATATTGCCTTTTTTTTGTAGATCTCCCGATGTTGTTTCTGAAATCTGCACCTGTTTATAATACTGTGTGAAATGTCTTGATATTGTTCCCAAAGCCCCTATGCTGCTGATGATGAGAGAGAGTGTGACTGGTCCAAGGCACCCACTGAACTTCAAGCCACTACATCCCACTGGCTGTCCTCTCTTTAAGGGATCTTTCAGCCGTTCTGTCTCTGACTTTCTCTGATCTTTCTTTCAGGCTCATGAGCAGTGTAAAGAACAATGTAGGCCGAGGCCTGAACATTGCACTGGTGAATGGTAAGATGGACTTTTGGGGGGAACATAGGAATAGGAGGAGTGCTGCTGGAGGGTCACAGCACCAACGGGGTGCTAATACTATTTTGTTCTGCTTTTCAGGGGTGAACGGAGAGCTGATTGATGCCAAGTTCTTTGACATGTGGGCAGGAGGTCAGTGTGGGGGGCTAGCAGCAATGTTGGCTCATCTGTGATAAAGCAAGACTTGCCTGGGCGAAGAGAAGGGGATTTTGTTTGGGAAAATATTGGAAAGATCTGGTGGTTCAAGACCCTGCTAATGGAAGAGGTCAGAGGAGTAATGGGAGAGTTTGGCACGTTGACTAATGTGCACTGGGTTAGAGACGTTGGAGGATGTATAGGAAGAGTGGGCAGAGCTTGGAAAAAGTAACTCTTCAGGACCATCGCCGCAGTCCAAAAATAACCTTCCAAAGTTCTGCTTAGGAACTTGCAGTGTCAGGAAGTCATAAAGGTGCATCATCTTGATGAAGGCGTGGGACATCCCTTGTGAAAGGAGAGACTCTACAGGCCTCAGCCAGACCTGTGCTTTATCTGGGCTTTCAAAATCAAATTGCACCCATTCAGCATTTCTGCATATGTTTGTCTTACCCTGTTAACAAAGTCTGGAGGAGCATCAAGGCTCTCTCACCGCCTTTGGAAACCTATTTTTTGATTTTTGATGACATTGCATGCACATACCTTTTCAGGCATATTGTTACGTTTAAAAATACAAGCTTAAAATTCTCAGAAAGCAGAATCCGGCACCCAATGCTGTCACCTGCTCTATGCTGGCACTTCTGCAGAACTGTGCAATCCTCAGATTTTTGTTGGAGGAAAATCTGTGCTGAAACTTCCCCCTGTCCTCAAAGCTGTATGTGTCTCTTTCTGTCTCCTCCAGATGTGAATGAGCTGTTAAAATTCATCCGGCCGTTACATGAAGGAACGCTGGTGTTTGTGGCCTCTTACGATGACCCTGCCACAAAGTGAGTGTTAAGAGCAAGCAAGCCAGCATGGCTACCCTTAGCCTGTGCAGGTACTTGTGCTTGACATGGGGGAAGCTCCCTAACTGATGCAAAGCTAACCCAAGGTTGCTGCTGTAGTGGTAGGGGAAATCTCCTGGTTTATTCAAGTACCTTTGGGATTATATAGAAAACTGAAAGGGAATCCTTGAATCTAGAGATGGGGGCTTCGTATTCTAATATGAATATGAAAAACCCCAGCCCAGGGGACTGCCCTGATTATCTCCCACTCTCAGACCCCGCCAGACCACTTACCACACAGTGCGCGTGACTGGTGTCATCCTCAGTGCACTAATCGTGGCAATAGCTTGGCTGCCCCAGCCCCACCTCCCTGCTTGCCCAGCCTCTCCACAGCTGAGCAGAGGGAGACTCTTCCTCCTGTCACCTTGCCGGAGTGGCTGGACAAGCATGGGGGGGAGCGGCCAGCAGTAACCAAGCTGCTGTCACAATTGGCACACTGAAGATGACGCCAGCCACATAAGCCACGCGCTGCACAGCAAGTGATCCAGTGGGGTCCGGGGATGGGAGATAATCATGGTGGCCACCTGTGCCGTGGGGCTTGGAAGGTCGCATCTCTAGCTGAATCTCTTCTGTGACCGTAGCAGGCAGGAACCTGAATCCATGGCTGTGCTCCATCAAAGAGGTGAGGAGCCTTGGGGAGTACACTGCTTGCAATGTGTAGCCTGCATCATTAAATTATAAACTGCCGAGAGAGTACTATGGGGCAGTATATCAGCAGCATTCTTTGCTTTTTTTAAAAAAAATGTGTTGCCATCCAGCAACATCTGAAGGGTCCCATATTGTCCATCCTGGCTTCAGTCAGCCAGAAAGGAAGTGAATGTGGAGCGGAAAGGTGACGTGTACAGTAGAGATTTTCACATTTTTCCACACCATCTTCCTTTCCAGAATGAACGAGGAGACCCGAAAAATCTTCACAGAACTGGGTAGCAGAATTGCCCGGGACTTAGCCTTTCGAGACAGCTGGGTCTTTGTGGGAGCCAAAGGAGTGCAAGACAAGAGTCCCTTTGAGCAGGTACCAAGTCACCTTCCTTCCTTAGAAAACTCAGAAGGGTTACTTTATTGCCATCTGGAAAAATTCTGTTTTGGGTTCAGAGAAACCCTGAGATTTCTGGATAAATGATCTGGGAAAGCAAAGGACAGGGATGCAAGAGAAACTCATGCCAACCTTCCCTTTCTGCTTTTTTCCATAGCATGTCAAGAACAACAAGAATTCCAACAAGTACGAAGGTTGGCCTGAAGCCCTTGAGATGGAGGGCTGCATCCCCCAGCGAACTGCAGATGTCCAGTGAAGGTTTACTTCCTCGAAGCCTCCAGGGATTTTGCTTGCCTAGAGGAGGAGAAAAGTCCTTGCCCACCTGCCTGCTGTTGCCTTCCCTCACAGTGGCAACTATCTATCCTGATCCTCCTTGGCAGACCTTTCTGGCTCTGCCTTAAACCACCCAATTTTCCTTTCTGAAAGACATGCCTGGTGTGTCCCTGGAAAACAGTGTATTGAAAGCTGCACCTCTGCACCTGTTGTCCCCGTCCCCACGTGCCTTATTTTAGCTTCTAAGTGGAGGAAGTACTCCTTCCATTCCTTTTCCTACGGCTGTGAATTTGGGGAGCAAATCGGTGTCCTCCGTTGGGAATACTGGCTCAGGAACTCAAGCTGGAAGAAGACGCAGACATATTTATATGACTTTCTTTGCCTTTGCCATGATACTATATCATGTGCCACTGCTGAGAAGGACCACATTCCTCCCACGACAAAAGTGGGGTTGAAGGATGAGCCCGTGTTGGGTGGGGCAAAACCAAAAGCGGGCAGGGACATCCCATCTCCCTCTTTCTCCTGCCTCCTTTCCACACATCCTCTCCCCCTTATCTTCCACAATTCCACTCCATTCTTACTCACATCATTCTATCCCTCCATGCCTTGCATTGTCATAGTCCTACACAACTGTTTCCTACTAAGCATCATGGGAGGACATTACAGTGAGGAAAGGGGATGAAATTGCTAGGCTACATCTGGCGTAAGGGTTGGACCGATTGGATTTGGAACCTTTTACCTTTCCAGATGTGTTGATTTTCAACTCCCGTCACCCCCACCAAACAAGGTCAACGGTAAAAGATTATGGAAGCTGTAGAGCAGTAGTTCCCAACCTTGGGTCCCCAGATGTTCTTAGAATACATCTCCCAGAAATCTTGGCCAAGGTTGGGGACCATGGCTTTAGAGTAAAGCATTTAGAGGACCAAAGATTCTTTACCCCTGGGCTTGGAGGTTCCTTCTCCCGGTATTATAAATGGACCACTCCTTTTTAAAATCATAGTTTATATGCCTCAAGTTAACACTTCTGCTACCACAAAGATTCCCCAGTCCATGGACAGTTTTAGTAGACTCCTAAAATTCTGGAGGTACCGTTTCCTAACATGGGTGCTTCATTTGTGATGAGAAAGGGCGAGGGGATCAGGGCCCTTCCTTCATCCTTGCAGACGTGATTCCTTATATAAGGCAGCATTGAGAGAATCAAAGTTATATCATATCATTTTGGAAGCCTGTCTTGTTGAACAACATTTCCAGTAAATAGTTGCACAACTTCTGAGACTTTGATGATAATGTTTAAAATGAATGCTCATCTCTTCCTATACAGAAACAACTGTTCCTTGGCACCTACGTTTTCCTTATGTTCTCTTTCCTATCCACATGCCTACAAAAGAGAAGACAAGAGTTTGGAGAAGTTAGGGTGGGAGGTGGTTGGGGTTTGCTTATTTGCTTTTGGCTGCATTTTCCGGTGTGATGTAGCGGATAGAGTGACAGACTAGGAATCTGGAAACCTAGGTTCAAATCCCTGCTTGACGATGGAAATTCAAGGTGTGTGTGTGTGTGTGTGGCGGCAACAGTGGCTAAAAGCACTCTTTAAATACCTCCACTGGATTGAAAATCTTATTAGATTCCTTGTAAGTCGGATGCAATTTGATGGCATATATCACACACATCATGACCATGGTGGTGTAGAGATTGTGCAAGGTACAGTCTTAAAGAAGACAGGAGGGCCTGGCGTGCTCTGGTCCATGGGGTCACGAAGAGTCGGACACGACTAAACAACAACAGTCTTAAAAACTAAAAATTCCAAGCTCTGAAAAAAAAGGGAGGTAAGACTGGTCTTTGTATGAAGACGAATTGCAAGGGGGAGAGACAGCTTTGCCTCCTGGGAAGTAAAGGCAGAGAATGGATGGCAGGGGTGCTTCTGATGATGTATTATTGTTTATTAGGTACCTCTGTGCCTCACTCTGTGCCTTTCTAGTGAATACAAGATGGTAAAGGTGGCTCTCTTCTGCTCTACTTTATTTTCAAACAACCCTGTGAGGTAGGTCAAGCTGAGAGAGAGTTAACTGCATGGTTCAGTGGAGATTACAGCTTGTATCTCCCGAATTCTAGTCTAGTACTCTGACCACTGTAACACATTGAAGAAATGCTACTGCAGAATCGTACAGGATGGCAGAAAGACCTACTGAATCAAGACTTGTTTTCTGTTAATCCCCCTTCTTGGGTCTTATTACCCTTCTTCCTGATTTGCCTCATTCACTACAAATCTTGCCCCACCACTAGCATAATCTGAGCATGCAAAATTATGGTGGAGCCAATTCTTCTTTCTAATAATTGTCTTCTGTAAGTGGGAGAAGCAGCCAACAGGAGGCAGCACTTCCACCTAATTTAGTCACTGATATCTTGAGGCTCCAAACATCACACTGTAGTTGATTTAATGGGAACCCTGTGAATTAAGGATCTCCAAAAGGCTGTACCCTTAACAGTCCTGCTTAAGGCTTGCAAACTAAAAGTCACAGCTTCTTTGAGTCAATCCATCTTGTATTAGCTTTTCCTCATTTAGTGCCTTCCACTCTTCCCAACAAGACAGGGATGATGTCTTCTTGTCCTTTGTCCAGAGTACTCCCGTCATTTTAGCTTCTTTTGAGAGTTTGGATTTTGATCTAGAGCCTTCTTGTTTTTCTATCACTGGAAGGCTGTCCTTCAACACCATATTCTGAATGGTTATTTTTTTCCCCGGCAAACATTCTTTCGTTTTCCATTTGTATGCTGTAATTGGGAATAACATAGTAAGGATTATATTGGCCTTGGTCTCCAGTGGCATATATTTACAGTTAAGGCTCTTTTTCAGTTTGTTCATAACCATCCTTCCAAATCTTATCTCCGTACTGATTTCTTGTCCACACTGTAAAACTAGAAATACCACATTCAGAATCTTACTGTTGTGATCTAATTGAAATGTCCAATTCCAATTCATTCTAGTTTGCTCACACCGAGTATTGTAATGTCTTATGATTTTGCTTATCTTGTTTCATACTTCTTACATTCTATGTTCCAGTTATATGTAATGTACAGCTTTGGACTTTCTTCCTGCATTTTTGTGCGCATGAGGGACTAGACCACCTTCGGATTTGATCCATTTGCTTCATTCGTAACAGCACTGTTCATCCTCATCCTTAGGTCTTCCCCAGGAGCTAACCAAATGCCTTTTAACCTGAGACTCCCATTTTTAAGCACTATCTCTTAGATTGTCTCATCAAAGGTTTTTTGAGATATAAAATATTCAGATGTATTTTAATATTGCCATCTTCTGCACAGTACTAATAAGTTTTCATGCCACTGCCATTGCTTATGAAAGATGCTCTATTAATGGCTGAAATCCTGTTGCTTAGTGTCGTAAGTTGTAACTAGAATAGAATGAGGAATGCAATTCTCATCAGCTGTAGTCAATGTATAACCGCTGGCAGATAATGTCAGAATCAATTACTAGTTGAGCATCTGTACCAGCAGGGCAGGTTTAATCCTTTGAATGTCTTCTTACACATTTTAGTAGTTTTAGAAGAGGTGTTTGGTCTGGCATATCAGGCCAAAGCAAAAGAAAATTAAAGACAACAAAAATGTGTGGCACCTTAAAGACTAACTGCTATATTTAATGTGAGGCTTTGTGAGCATAAGTGTATTTATATCTGAGGAAATGGACTTGTCTATGAAATATCACATTAATATGTAGCAATTAGTCTTTAAGGTACCATAACATTTTTGTATTTATTTTTCTTATACATTTTAGTAGAGAGGGCATGTGGATCTGCTTTCATGAAATTAATCAGTTCTTGTTTTTAAATGTAGGAAAACATAGCACCTATGACTGTCTCGTGTACCAAGCAACCACAAACACCCTTTTGAATTTTGAGGGTGGAGATTCTGGAGTGCCTTCAACTTGAATAGACAGCTGAAGCCCTTTATATTCACAAAATACTACATTCCATTTGGCGATGCAAACAAGAAGATCTGGTTTGTTAGTATGAACCAGCACACCTCCCTGCAGTGTAGAAGCCTTCCAGTGGGTGGATGAGTATGTTTGTCTGGGTTAGTGTTGCTGTACATGATGCAAGCTTATTGCAATTTAAAAATGAGGTCAATGTGCACTTTTAAGAACTGCATCGGGGCTTTTGTCACCACCTGGCCAGTGCCAGGAGGATTCCCAGCTGCTGACAGCACTGAGGTTGGATCATCAGAGTCCTTGCCTGCTCAACATATGGGGAAAGGGGAGCAACTGCCCCCCCTTGCAAGAAGAGTGTTGCTGCTTGGCCAGTGCCGGGGGGGGACGGACTTCCTGGCTACTTTTGGCACTGGCTAGCCAGCCACAGTGTTCTTGCCCAGAAGAGCAGCCCACTCCCCTGTTTTCCTTACATATTGAATGGGGGAGCTGCTGCCCTGACCCTTACCCTGCCAGTAGTTGGGAAGTCTTTCAGCACTGGCCAGGTGGCTCGAACTACAGGCCCTGCCTTAAAGCACAGAATCACATTAAAACAGTATGTGTGGTGCGAGTGGGCTTGTTCTTGTTTGCTGATAACCCACAGCCAAGAGCTTTCCTATAGTTCCTATAAAGGCAACCTATTATGGTTGTGGGTTTTTCGGGCTCTTTGGCTGTGTTCTGAAGGTTGTTCTTCCTAACGTTTTGCCAGTCTCTGTGGCCGGCATCTTCAGAGGACAGGAGTGAGAACGCTGTCTGTGCAGGCAGAGTTCCGACTCCAGTCCTTTGAAGATGCCGGCCACAGAGACTGGCAAAACATTAGGAAGAACAGCCTTCAGAACACGGTCAAAAAACCTGAAAAACCCACAACAACCATTAAATCCCGGCCGTGAAAGCCTTCTCGAATGCAACCTATTATCTTCCTCTTTCTAGTTGTAAAAGGACCCTCAGTACCATCATGTTGCAGAGACAGAAGACATAGTGATTGGAGCACTCTGTACTGCCTAATTCCTCTGAAACCCCCCCCACACACACACACACACCATGTGATGAACAAATATCCACCAGAGCACTCTGTACTGCCTAATTCCTCTGAACCACCCCCCACATACACACACCATGTGATGAACAAATACCCACTGGGGTTGGTCGAATACAGTACCTTTATTGATCAGTGAAACCTTACTAATAAGGTGAGCTTTAAAGATCTCCAGGGCTTTTCTTCTGCCATATATGTTACACAAATGTATGGAGGAGAAAAAGAGAAGAAAGTCACATAAAATCAGACAAATCTGGTTAGGTGTTATGCCATGGACCTTAAAAGCAAGGTGGAGATTGTGGATCCAGCAGTTCTTAAAGAAAGATGTTGGGTGTCAGTTTACAGTCTCTGCTCCCTGTAGTTGGCTTGCCTTTTTAAAAAAAATCTGCATAGGGTGAGGAAGTTTCACCTAACATTTCCCATCCAATTTGTAAGATAAAGTGAACTATTACAAACACTTTTACAGTACTGTAACACATAGACTAGTTTTAAAGGTGCCACAAAACTGTTTTTGCTGCAACAGGCAAACATGGCTACCCGTCTAGGAATTCATTTCCTCTATTTCCTACTCCCTTTAATGTACATCAGAAATAAAGATAAAGGTGTATTAAGACCTCCTAGGCCCTGAATTGAAGAGTTCTTCCCAAAGCTAAAATTCACACAGGAGGTCACCAGATGTGTCCCTAGTCGTCCTCTCCTAAAATCATAATCCTCCGACCGCTTGAGTCCAGAAGGAAAGCCTCTAACTGAACACATTTAATTGGTAAGTGAATCCATAATCTTTGCAAAGCAAAAATGCCTCTCAGTCTTGTCAATCTGAGGACAGAAGGCACTAAACTGCCCAATCAAATAAAAGGATGAGTATATAATCCGTTCCTTCCCAATCTAATCTCATTGAGAGGGGAAAGGAGAGCCCGTTTCTTCCGATCAAGGGCCTGCGAATTTCAGGTCTACCCAATCCAGCAGAGAGGCGTTTTTTCTCCTTTTTTGGGCCAAATGGCTGAGAACCGACTAGGAGAGAGCATTATTAATCTCCTGTTTAAAGCGGAGATGGTTCTCTCCAATCAGATCACACGTTTACCACCTAATCCTATTATTCTAACCGTAGGGAGAGTTTAATGTTGCCTTCTGCTATCCGAGATTTAGGTTTGGGTTTTTTATTTTTTATTTTAGCTCATCCATTACAATACGGAAGTTACCATTTTTGAAACTACTGTAAAGAGGGATTCCCACCACTCCACCGCCCTTTAAAAAAAAAAAAACACGCCTTAAAAAGAACGTGGCTTTCAAAACCACAAATCCCAGCATGCTCTCAACTCGCGGGCGGTGCCTACAATGAATTCGCATTCTGTTGTGGGCGTGGCTTTGATTGTGACGCGCCACCCGATGGGCGGAGCCAGTCACAGAAGGCAAGGAAGAGAAAAAGCGAAGGCTTCCAAATGGAGCGGCTGAATCCGGCGATCGGCAGGTGAGATCCTAGAAAGGGGCAGCAGAGGCGAAGGGGTCAGGTGCACGTAGATCTCGAGGGAGGATCCTGCCTCTCCCAGGTCCGTGTCTGCAAGGGAATAGATTGGCGGCGAAAGGGATCCTGCGGGCGGCTGGCAGAAAAGAACTCTTGATGTTGGGTTGTTACTACTAATTGTCGTGTATTTCAAGGGAGCGGCTGCTGGGTTGGGGTTAAGAAGAATTATGTAGGGCATTTCTGTTCAAACCCCCAAGCAGGATGGAGAGGCGATACCGGGGGGGATGAAGTGAAGCCACCCCTGTAGGGGGGGAAAAAGGGACAATCGGAGCATACCCGATCTAGGTCGGAGAAACGTTTGGGAGAAGGGAGGAGGGCGAGAGCCAGAAGAGCCCAGGGCTCTCCTGCTAGAAGAAATGCTTCAGCAACGGGGAAGAGGAAGTTTAGGGACTGGCAGCGTCTTTCCCAACAGGTGTTTGTGGCTTTAAGAGAGAAGTGACTCAGCTGAACTGAGGAGGAAGAGGAAGAGAGGGGTTTGCTGCCGGGCTCTGAATGCTCCCGTTGAGCCGTCTCCCTTTTTAAACCTACTTCCCCCCCCTCCAGCCTTGAAAAGGACTGTCCAGTTGGCCCCAAGCCCAGTTCAGAGCTAGCTCCAGCATCACTGTTTTTCTTTCCTCCATGGGATTGTTTTGGGAATGATCCTGTGGGGAGAGAAATACATTTGAAAAACATTTTTTTTTTTTTTCTTTTGGTCTGCCTGGACTGCCTATTGTGCTGTAATTATTAGAGTAATGATGCTGAGGTCACATTTTCCACAGAAGAAGGTTGTAGAATGGAGAGGAGCAGAGCCCTAGGAAGGGCAGCTTGCAAGCAGAACAAAAAAAGTTGGAGATGTTGTAGGAAGGTGGAAACCGAGGACACCTCCAGAAAGCAAGATTATGGGATGGGAAGGAATTTACGGATGAGTCTGCTAATGCCTAAAAATACCCAGAGGAGGAAAAACGTTGTGCACGTCATAGGAGAAACAGTGCTGGATTTTAATCTTGACTTCCTTTTCAAGAAAATACTGACGCAGGGCCAGCTGAAGGATTTTTTTTTAATGCCTTAAGCTGATGGACGTGTTGCCATTTTATTATTCACTTAATATCCTAACCGTAACATGTTAAGCCTGCAGATCTGTAGATGAAAAGCGGAGAGCAGGTGTCCCTCCAGATTGGCATTGGAACTGACTCCCAGCCACTTGAAACGGCACAGCAGGCAATGATGGGAGCTACAGTCAGGGGAGCTGTATGTTCTCCATCTCTGAGGTATATGCTTATTGAGGAGGAGAATATCTGGGTTCTTGAAACTGGTTAGAATTTAACTCCTAAGTTGTATAGCATTGTACAGTTGATGGTCAAGAGCAGGAAGGAAGGAATCTGGTTTCCATTGTTTTAAGTGAAGCTGGGGAACATTTAACCTTTTATCTCACTAGACTAAATGCTTGTCAGCATGATGAGTGATAAGAGAGGTGCACATGTTGAAGTTCATCAGCAGCTAGAAGAGCCCGTGTTCTTTGGGGCAGCCAATGGATCCGATGATTCTGCAACAGAGGAGTGCAGTCTTGTGTTTTTTTGGATTACAATTTCCAGAATTGTAGTCCAACAAACACAAATCTGTTCTGCACCTTCTTTTAGATAGGAGCTACCACATGCCTCTCTGCACATTCTCCAAAGAATGTTCTCTGACATTTGCTTAGATGATGCTGATACCCCTGGAATTTGGGCACTTCAGGAAATTTCCTAAATTTGCATCTAGCCCTGGATAGATGTTCTTTGCTGAGCATAGGGCTATGGAAACTCTGACTGTTGCCAGTTCTCTGAAAAATATTTTGTGATGTGCGCTTAACAGCTGCAATTGTTTGACCTAACCTCCTAGATGCATAGTGGAATATGCTAAAATTGTCCTGAGCCAACTTCCCAGATGCATGGTGAGACATTGTGGGCTAAAACTGCCCCCTACCAGGGTTTCCAAGCCAAAAAAATTGAGTATTCTCAGGTTTCTTTCCCTCTGCAAAGGAGAATGGAAACATGCTGCTTCTGTTCCAAATTTTGTCAAGCATTTTCTATGTCTGCCTGCCTGCCTGCCTCAGGGCAAAAACAAGAGTCGTGTTTGCAGTTCTATAAGCTCAGGGGAGATAAAGTGACAGGAGTAGCAGATCAGGAGACGGTTTGCCTATAAAGCTGCCCAGATAAGGGAAGTCTGCAGCAGCAGAGTGTTTTTGCCTAAAACTACCATCAGCTGAACCAGCATGGTTAATGATAATGTATTAAAGAACTATAACCCAGAACACCTGAAGGGCTTATAGATCATCATTCCTATTTTACTATTTTTATTGTCAAGTCTGCTGTGGGATTTTGCCATCGATTAATGACTGTGGTGGCTGGGGGATTCTAGAAGTCATCCAAATAATGATTTTTCCCCCCAAAGCTCTAGTTGGTTCAAGTGACTAGCTTGTTCCATGTGTTTGTATTATGCTAAGTAAGAAAACACTGCTAAAATTGGCTTGTGCCTCAACATACATGCTGTCTCCTTCAGCTCTCATTAGGTCAAATGTTTCTACCCCACCAGTCATGCAAGGAGCAGAGCGGTGATGGCTCTCAGCCTGAGAAGAACATGAGCCATGCTTCTTGGATCCATGTTCTGCACATGCCAGCGAAGGAAAGACAGCCCTGTGTGGAATGATTCTGCACCATGTCTGGGGCAAGGCTTCTCTTCTTCCTGCTCCTCCACCTGCTGGTGACTGGCTGGATAAAGGGAGCGTCTGCTGACAACCGTTACCTCAGCATCGGGGATGGGACGGCTTCGGAATTCAGCTTCCCCGAGCACAGCCAGGGTGTCTTGTTGGTGTCTTCCCTCTATCCAGGGCCCAGCGCTTGGCTAAGTGTGAACTCCTTGGAGCCTACGGTGGTCATGGTTGAGAACGTCAGTGCCTCCTGGGGAGGGGGCTTCATGGTTGGGCTGCAATCTGGCCTGGCCGGTCTTGCTCCGCTGCAACTACAGCTCTTGGAGGAGAACCACCTCATTGAGGAACGAACTGATTTCCGGATCCGTGTCCACCCCAGCGATCCAGATCTGGTGGCGAAGTTGGGTCTGGGCCATTTCTCGGAGAACCCGGTCCTCTATGCCCTCCTGCCTTTGATTTTCCTCAACAAATGCGCGTTTGGCTGCAAAGTGGAAGTGGAGGCTCTACGAAGTCTTGTGCGCCAGCCCCATCCTGTCTTGCTGGGGATATTGGGCCAATTTGTGGTCATGCCTCTTTATGGCTACCTCATGTCCGTGGCCTTCTCTTTGCCGACGCCACTGGCCTTGGGCCTGGTCATTTCCTGCTCCTCCCCAGGGGGTGGAGGTGGCTACCTGTACAGCCTTCTACTAGGTGGGGACGTTACAGTGGCCATCTCAATGACTCTCCTGTCCACTGTAGCAGCCACTGGGCTCATGCCACTGTCCTCAACGTTCTACGGCTGGTTGCTTGGTGCCCATGAGACTCTCCATGTGCCCTTCCTCAAGATCCTTGTCACCCTCCTCTTCATCGCAGTGCCCATCTCGTCTGGCATGCTGGTGAAATGCAAGTTGCCTCGCCTCTCTCGCCTGCTCCTGGTCCTGATTAAGCCCTTCAGCTTCACCCTCATTATTGGGGGGCTCTTCATGGCTTACCACATGGGAGCCTTCATTCTGGCCAATGTCCAGCCCCCCATTGTACTGGCAGGAATCACTGTGCCCATCTTCGGCCTGCTGCTGGGCTACCTGCTGGCATGGTGCTTAGGACTGCCCGGGCCGCAGTGTCGGACGGTGAGCATTGAAGTTGGAGTGCAAAACAGCCTGCTGGCTCTGGCTGTACTGCAGCTCTCCTTCCAGCGGGCCCAAGCTGACTTTGCCTCACAGGCTCCTTTCATTGTGGCCCTCAGCAGCACTTCAGAGATGTTGTTGCTGGTCTTGGGGAATTTGGCATATAATAAACTCTGTTCTACCTGCTCCTGAGGGCCTCTGAGCGAGTGGAGATGCACACCAAAGATGTCAGACTTCGGATGTAGCCTGCGAAGAGAGAAACTAGAGGCCTGAGGAGCAGGGTTTGGGCTTCCCCCTTGAAAAGGGGTATGGATACCAAGGCCTCAGCTTCTCAGTCTCTTGTGTGGTGGCTTGGATACCAAAGAGGCCCTTCAAAGTGATGTAACTCCCAAAGGCTGTTGTGTCGGGAGAATCAAGCTTGTCTGGCCTTCGTTTAAGAAAAACAAATTCTGTCTGTTTTTCTACCCAGCAAGAGGTGCCTGCGGTGCTTAGAGCTATAGCTGTACAACCTGGGAAATAGAATATGTAGGAGGAGGGATTAACCCATTTCTCCATTCACATTCATCGGAGATACAGGGCTGAATAAAAGGAAGGTGGAGATAATATATCCTCTGTGACTGTCTTTTATTTTTTTTTACAATGATGACGATGTGTTGGAAGCATTAGGAAGGGACTTAAATTCAAATGGCAAGGAAGGAAAGGGATGAAAAATAATTTTTAAACTCTCTAGTGGTCAAATTTTTGTCCTAGGGCCATACTGTATTTAGAAAACAGGTGCTTGGGATTACATGGGCCAGAACTACAGCTCTTAAAAATATCCATAATAAGTAAATAAAGAAACTCATAGAGCAGGTAAGGATCGGTGGTACTTGTCTTCAGAATCTCAATGGCAATATAAAGAAGGCATCTGTCTTTGCTCTGGTAGTGCATACAATATACAGCTCTTCTTTCCCCATTTTATCCTCCTAACAAACTCGTGGGACAGGAGAGGCTAAGAAAGCATGACTAGTCCAAGGTCATGCAGTCCGGCTTAGTGGCCAAGTGGAGATCAGAGTATCAGATCTGAGTATTAGTACATCACTAACCAGGTATACCACACAGGTTCCTTAAAATTGGGGAGGGGGGAGTCTTTATCCTAAATATTTGGGCACTGATAGAACCTTAGGCTGGCTGCGCTTTATGGGGTGATAATAGTTTTTGGTCAATGTCTGAAACAGTGGAGTTCTTCCACTTTTCGCTCTTTCAGTGCAGACAGTTGTCAACTTTCACATGTTGGACTACAGCTCCCATCCTCCATGAGCTTTAGCCCTGATGACAAAGGCTCATGGGAGCTGAAGTTTATGTAACTATGTTGCTTCTTTGAACAAAATAAGCCTACGGAGCATTGTGGAGGTAAGCTAACGGTATGATCACAATAACTGGCCTTTTGCTACTTCCCCGGTTGTGGCGGTGGCATATTATCATTATCATCATATGACTGCAATTAGGGAAATGATGAATGGGTTGGAGTCTATGTGAGCCTAATGCATTCATCCATTCACTGGTGCAGATGAATAGCACAAGTTGTTCTGAAGGCTGTGCTTGTTTGCTGAAGTTGGGTATCCATGAATCACCCAACATGCTTTGGCCTGGGGAAAATATCAACTTTATTACTACTAAACTTGCATGTACACTTTGGAAGTCCAGTCCAGCCTTTCAGCAAACGTTTCTGTTCTCAGGGGCATTGTTCAGTCTTTTTTAAAGCAGCTTCTCCCTTCAGAGCCCAGCCTATGGTAGACTCTTTTGTTGGTGAATACCAGTGGATTTGGACAAACAGGGTATTCTCTTAGGTAACTCCTGAGGCAAAAGGGATGCCGTTACCTGAGAGCCCTCTTAAGTGGCCAGAGGCCTGGCTGACTTCCTTTATGGCCTTTCAGTTCTTGAAGGTGCCTAACAAAGCCAACTCCTGTGTCATGTAGGACAGGGAGGCAAGGCTAGTAGCATAGTATGGGGGGTGGCAGCACAGGGACAGTGGCCTGGGGTACATACTTTTTAGGGGATGCAAAATTCATTGACCCCTTGTTCCACTACTCCCCCTTCCCACTGCCCCCATCACCTCCCCACCTGGTCCTGTTGTCTCCCCCTCTTCATCCTGCACTTCCATCTTGAGACACAGCAGGCCTGGCTTTCCTTCCAGGAGCTGGGCCTGCAGTCCCTGTGCAAGCCTTGGCCTATCGGCTGAGAGGCAGGGCATGCACAGAGACCGCAGGTCCAGCTTCTGGAAAGGAAGGTCAGCCTGTCTCAAGATGACAGCAGGGGATGAGGAAGAGGCAGCAGGACCAGCTATGGAGGCAATGAAGATAGTGGGTAGGCTGTAGGGCCGCGAATGGGCAATCTAGCACCACGTGGATCAAGATGACAGCAGGGGATGAGGAAGAGGAAGAGGCAGCAGGACCAGGAGGCAATGAGGATAGTAGGTAGGCTGTAGGGCTGCGAATGGGCAATCTAGCACCACGTGGGAGCAGATAGATGAAGTGGAGGCTGCATGACTAGGTGGGGAGGCGATGGGGGAAGGGGATGGAGGCAGGCTGCAGCAGTAACATAGTGGTGGGGGGCACAAGTGCAACATTTTAGGGGGTGTAAATCTTGCCTTGCCCTGGCAACCCACATTACGCTACTGGGCAAGGCACCTTTCTGTAGTGCCAGGCTCTGATCCTAATCATTTGACTTGGGAGTAAATCTCACTAAAAGCCAGTGATGACCAAGATTAAGTCAGAAAGAACATTCTGTAAGATTGCATTGCATAGAGAAAGCTAAAGGTACAAGCCGGGGTGGTGGTGGGAGCAGATTATGATAACAAGATGGGTAACGTGGTCTTTTAGCTGCAATAGGATTGCAGTTGCCTTCAGCTTTAACTGGAATGGAGAATAGTGACCTGATAGTTGCAAGATTACAACATCATTCTATGGTGTTTGGGTTAGCTTCACTGCACAGAAGAGTGGACTTTTGAAGAGGGAGTTGAAGGAAGGAAGAGAAGTGGTGACATTTGTGTTCTCTGAGATGGGGAACATGTGGCCCTCCATAAATGTTCAACTGCAACTCCTGTCGTTCCTCTTCATTGGTTACACTGGCTAGGAAAGATCTCGTGATCTCATGATCTTCTGGGATGTTTGCACCAATTTTGCCAGCATACTTTCCCTTGCCTGCACACCTGCACCACGCTCTCTGAGTGCCAGAGGAATAATTTGTTTGAGCTAGAGCTCTACCACTTACTCCTGGGGAGCAGGACTGCACTGCATGAAAATGAGAGTCCGGCAGCTAAATCCTCTTGGCGGATTTCAGCAGGAGTGCTAAGCACACTGGAGGAAGAAGCCTTGATAAAGGCACTAGGAATATGGACATTTGAGACTAGCTATGTTTTGTGAAATAGAAATAGGTGCCACAAACATTGTATCCTTATCAAAAATACAGCATCTTGCAAATTCCCTTATTAGCCATGAAGGGTAATGAGGTAATTATTCAAAGCTTGAAGGGCAAAAAGGAGAGGTAAACTGTCATGGTAATATATTGGGAACTATTAAGGTAGATTGTTGTTAAATGCCAATCTTTCCAGCTTATGGCAAAACTAAACAGGGTTTTCGAAGCATGTGAGATGTTCAAGGAGTAGCTTAATTGCCATTGCAATTACTGTGACTAAGCGGTAATTTGAACTCGGGCCTCCTGAGTCCTAGTCTGACATTCCCTCAACTATGCCACATGGGCTCTCACATTTAAAATAAATAGCAGGGCTTTTAAAAGGTGCTTTTTCTAATGCTCCCTTCCCCATGCTATAAACAGAGTATGAATTCTTATTTCATGGTTTGTATAAAATACTACAGTTGCTTTATTTAAATTTTTGTTTGCAAGCACTTTGATAATAATTTTGTATGGGAAAATGGGTACAATTAAAAAGAAGGTAAAATACATGTGCAGTTTAGGATTTTGATTTAACTTTGACTGTAGCCTTCAGCCATCACTCTAAATTTTAGAGTGATGGCTGAAGGCTGCAGTCAAAGTTCAATCAAAACCTCTGTTGGCATTTATGCACAATAGGGTCAAACCTATCATAGGCAACGCCCTGTTTAGTGAGAGATTAAGTTTGGCAATTCAGGCCAGCTGCCTATCAGTTTCCCAATGCACATAGTCAAAGTCCTCTGTTCTCTGAAGAGGGTTTTGGAGGTGTGGAGTTACTTGTTTACCCAATGTGTACTTTCAAAGATGTTCCACAAGCCACCAACCCACAGACACTGAATCTCAAGGTCTCCTGATTGATTTGATCTCTCTTTCCCCATGTGTCAGCAGCTCTCAACATAAAACAATTCTCCTCCTTTGGGTTATAGTTCTTCTCTGCAGGGGGTGGGAGGGAAGGAAGGAAGGAAAAGTCATCCAGTCGTTGTGCAAAATCCAAGAACAATAGTTAATATAATTAGTAGACCGCTACCATCTTCCAAATCCTGCAGGACTCTCTTATCCTGGGCTGAACATTACAGAGCTTGGGTAAGGAGATGAAATAGAAAAGTCCCCAAAATTATCATGCCCTAACATTGCAGCCAGGCTTTCTAATTTTAGTTCCACAATGGAGTCTCTAGCCTTTTAGCATCAGCTCCAGATAGCATGTTTTCACCTCAATGGGGAAGTAGATATCATTTTCTTTCTCAGTCTTCATAGACAAGAAAGCCTGGTCTCAACATCTGGCCAAGATTCTTTTTCTTTTCCCACACTAAGCTCTGTAGAGCCCATCCTCGTTAAGGACTTGAACTAGCCTGTTTGTGAGATGTTAGTGATCTAATGCAGCTTATTACCCAAAATTGTTTTAGGTCCCTTCAGGGAGAGAGCCAGTGAAGGAAACCAGTTTCCTGCCTTTTGCTCCATTCAGAATGTGAATCCTCTTATAATAAATGATTCTCCAACTTGGGAGTCTCTTACTGAAAAAAGGTATTTTAGTCTGAAGATAAGTATGACCAGATTAAAAACTCTACCCCCAGCACCCCAAACAAACAGTGGTGGTGGTGGGGGCATTTTCTTTAGCTTTTTGTATGCTGTGCTAGATTGTGCTGCTGGGGAAGCTGAAGGATGGAAGAATCCTGAGGGGAAAATAGTTTTGAAATAACATGACAAATCCCTCAGTTGCTGCTCCCTCTATTCCCTTGCTTGCATCCCACATAATTTCCATGGTCTTTCTTATTCCTTGGCTTGTCACTGTGTCAGCGAATTACCTCAGGCTAAAAGTCACCTTGTGGAGCTCCGGGTTTTTTTTGATAAATGAAGGAATGCAGAGAGATAACCAATGGGTGCAAATTACCGTAATTTATTATGCAACACATTTACATAAGTTTGTAAAGTTGCAAGAATTTCTCCTGTTTTTTTTCTTTAGGAGGAAAGCAGTAATGTAGAGATTGTTCTTAAGTATTACCTAATGTACCCATTTTTGGTTAACTGGCTTTAAACCTGTAGGATTTGCTTTCTTACTCCTTTGTCCTGGTGGTGCCAAATAGCTGCTCTCCCAAGGAAAACTCCTCCTGCCTCTTTTGACAGCCCCACTGCTCTGAAGGAAAATATGTCAGCCCTTTCCCTGTCCCAGTGCCAC